AATGCTGCAGAATATCACTTGAAAACTTCAGAATCATTTTTTTGGTACTGCTTCAAAAAATATGACCACCCGGTCCAGCAAAAACTCTCCAAATTTATGAACCCTAATTTATACAAAAAATTCATTCTGCAAAAAACAGAGGGTAAAAGTAAGCATTATTACAGGAACATAGTAATGAGAGCTACAAAATGTCCGGAATGTTGAGATGAAATCGGCCTGTACAACTGCACTTGCTTTTGACCAACAACATCCCATTATTATACCGACGAATTTCCAACATGACTGCTACAAGTAACGGTCATGTTCCACTATTTATCGGCATAATATGACTGTGGTAACGAACTCTGAAGCAATGAGCGAATTTTCACTCCTATACCACTGAACCATTCACCGCCAATACGACATTCTTTCACCACTAGGAACATTTCAAATTTTCTTGTTTATGAAGTACTTACTGGGATAGCTGTTCCACTCTCAGAAATATCCATTTTGAACCCGAAATCGGTATAATGCAAGTTGCGTTGCTCCTTCATAAAGCTGCGCTCTCTTTGCATTTCCAGATGTTTCATATCTTCGGAGGAAAGTTTATTGACATTAACTAAAAGTCATCAAGTGAAAAAATATTCTTCGTTAGCAATTCAGAATATGGAAACGAAAGCAACGTCAGTGTAAGTCAAACAAACCTCTTTCTCCCTCCTCTATATCGAAGTACCTTACGGATATTAAATCTTTGCCGTATTCGTCTGCAAACCGAATCTTACGGTTACCAGGAGGAATAATATCCGGCTCCTCTGTTCCAAGAGGTTTACTCTTTTCTTGTGCTGCTGCCTCTACTCTTTCCTTCAAAACAGTCCTTGAAGTATCACTATACAGCCCTTCCTTAAAAACAGATTACCAAGTTCAAAGGGAAAAAAAAGACAAAAAACAAAAATATTACACCACAAAAGACTTCCGATATAAAGCAAAGATTAATGGACTTGCCATAACACTTGGGATAACTGTCGTGGAAACAGCAGATTTCGCTGATGCTGGAGCAACTTTTTTCTTTAGCTGTTTTGATGGTTGCCGCTTGTTTCCAGGGTCCATCAGTGCAGCCATGAACGAATCGCTAGTCATAACCTCTGAAACGGTATCATGAAATAGAAAAAAATGAACAGCTTCGAAGCACCACCCAGACAGACAGCCTACCGCAAACTCTTTCAAAATCACTGGGGATAGCAGTAAAACAGTTTTTAAAGCGTACAAAAAATGTTGTAACGCAGAGGAGGCTTAGAAAGCAGACCGCCTCAGGAAGTTCTGCAAGTTGTTTTCTTAATAAATAATGTTCTGAACAATTCCTAATGAAAGAAAGCGGAAAAAATGACGAAAAAGTGGAGAAAAAAAAGCATAGAAATTTTGACTTACTTGGAGCAGAAGTTGGTGGCACATTTTTCTTTTCAAATGAAGGAGCAGAGGTGACTATCGGATTTACTGCATTTTGCTTCGTATTCTTCGGAAGATTTGTTAAAGGAGCTGAAAAAAGCACACTATTCACTAGTCAAAAACACTTAGGAGCGAACGACAAAAATCTAGTGCATTCGCTCTTAACCAAACCTTTCTTCTTCGCATCCAAAACTGCTTTGCTTGGAATACTGGATTTCTTTTTTGATTGTCCATTCCCAGAGTTTTTTGCAGTTTCTCCTTCTGCGTTGCTTTCCAAACCTGAAAGCTGTTTTTTTTTGCTAAAGTAATGGGAAAAAAAAAATAGTGGTCGGTCTCACACTTAAACGCAAAATGTGCCTTTAATGAACTTCTGACTTCGACAATTTCGAAAACCTCTGTTAAAAACGGTGTTATGGGCAAGGGTCAAGATTTGAAACGGCACGGAAGAGTTGAACCCAAACTACGAGGTGCGAAACCAGTGCTCTTCTTTTGCTAGACAAAGAGTACAACGATGACGCTATTTGCTGACAGTTGAAATGTAGTCCCGGGTAAACGTAACTGCCTCCCGCACTTGACGTGTTCGACTTCACAAACCAATTCCAATAAAATCAGCACAACATCGAAAAAAACAACCATCCAAGTTTACTCGTTCAAACAACACTCTTCTTCTTTAAACTTGCACATTAACAAATCATCCTGGTTGTAACCATTTAATACACTTGAACCGCAGGCTTGAAAAGCTTTTTTTCCTTTTACCATTTCATATCATTCTTCTTACAATCCAAACGACTAATAAGCACCAAATGTTTCCCGACAAAAAACGACAGGTAACTTCTGTTGCGGTTGAGGTGTTTTAAAGACCTTCGTTCTCCAGCAAAGTAATTTTCGAGAAAAAAAGCAAAATGAGAAACAGAGGACGATGAAGAATAAGCAAAACAAAAGAGAAAGAAATCGTTTGCAATTTAAAACTGTTGTTGAAAAATTCCTTTCAGCAGTCGTATTTAATTTTCTTTTTCTTTTATTTTTTTCAAAACTACTCTATAAATTACCAAAGCATTGTTAAATCTTCTCCAAATCCTGCAAAATTAAAAATTTTAAATTGCAGCTGAAGATGTTGTTTCACACAATCCGTACTGATGATTTTAAAAAAAATGTCAAGCAATCATCGTCCAGCTTCAAATTACAAGAGTACATCTCGAACGTCGTAATTGTGTTCAACTCTACAGCCAGCAGCAGCAGTCATCAAACTGATGTAACAAATGCTTATCAGAGCTGTTAAACTGCGTTTGGTAAAAATAATCATTTATAAAAGCCAAATAAACAAAATTCATTTTAAGCACATTTTGCACAAACATTCGTTGAAGATATCTCATTATCACGAGGTAACCTGAAAAAAATCTTGTCAAGTGAAAGGTTGTTGATGATTTTCAGATTCCTTTAAAATTCTGAGACGTGCCAAACGATGACTAAATAAATTAATCATTTCGCTGGCACGATATGACAAATTTACAGGAACTCTAATAAAAACAAAATCCATTAAGCCATTACAAACATCTCAATGTGTGAAAACACGTACTAATGGTTGTGCAACTAGAGCCGTAAAAAAAGGCAACAAATGACCACGTAAACATCGTGTTATTGTAAGAAAAATATTGAAACAACAATTCACCTGTTGAGCGAAACTTAGACATAAATGTCTTCACAGTTTTCGGACGTTTCTTCTTCTCCTTACTCCGTTCTTCGTCAAGTTTTTCAAATAGATTAAATTCTGTGAGCTTATTACATTTCTGCTGTGCACTTGACGATGTTGTTGCTACACTTTTGTTTTGTTTTTCCGCAGTCCCAACAGTTTTAGACGCCGCAGAAACAGCTAAATGATCCTCTGAATCATGATCTTCTGCTCCAGAAACTGTGTCTTGTTTGACTGGTATGGAATGCTGTTGTTCAACGGCAATTTTAACAAGCTTTTTAGCAGCATCTGTTGACGGGTGTACAGTTTTCCTTTTGGTACTGCCAACTTTTTTTAACGACTGCGATGAGTTCGCTTTAGTTGGCTCGGAAATCAACTTTTTCCACCGTAAAACTAAGTCACCGGCAATTTTTTTGACATCTACAAACAAATTCTCAAGCACTATTATAATGTAATTAAAACATCCAATATAAAAATAACGAAATCTCGAAACATTGCGAATGTTTGCCCCCCCCCCAAAAAAAAAGAACTAAAAACCTTAACGACCTAACTTTTACAATTATTCCATTAACAAAAAATTAAAAAAATAAATATGGCATAAAAACAAAGGATTGTACGTTGATGATGCCAGAATCGAAACAATTTGACAAATAATAACCAAATAACTTTGCTAAACCAAATTATAACAAAATCGGACACTCACACGCCCACGCTTATCCGGTTTATAAAAAATCAAATGAAATAAAATTTCACTATCCGACGACAGTGTTGACGTCAGCTCAGGTATAAAGCAGTTTAAAAAATCATTTGTTGTTTAGCAAAAATCCATCAGAAAAAAATAATATTGGTAGAAAAGCCAAGCATCAGTCCCTACCGTTGTCAACACACGTTTTCGATAAACGACGAATAAATTTTGGCGTATCATTAGACTGAAGTAACTCAACGGTCAAGTGAGCCTAAATACAAGTAAAATTAATGAGGCATAATTCAATAACTTCCTGAACATAATAAACAAGTAACTCCAACGGATTTCAAAACTGCTTTCCTTTGATACGAAACAGGAAATCAGAAGAGGAAAAGAAAAAGAACCTAATTCATGTAAAATTTTTGTAAAATTCAAATACCTGTGAGCACTGGCTCAGCAACAATTTCAACCGATTCCAGTCTTTATTCGATTCCGCCGTTTTCAGCCAAGTCCCCATTTGTTTCCATCCAGCCAAAGTACTAAAGCGCTGTATGGCACTAGCCTGAGCAGCAACTGCAGAATCACTGTAATGGAAAAATTTGAACAGTAAGTGATTTAAACAAGACGCTATATTTCTGTCCCCAAACTGAGTAGTTATAACAGGAAGCTAGTGTTCTGAACATACTTTATTTGTTCTGCTTGTCTCTGCTCCTCATCGGGTGCTGAGTTTTTACGTCGCGATTTGGACGCATGGGAGCCATTCAAAGATTCGGATAAAGTGTGCGGCTGAGTGAGGCGTTGAGCAACCTGAAGGTGAAAGTATCTATAAGACCAATAATTGCATATGACTGTCGCAATGTTAGGCAAAAAAAGAAATAAATTCTAAAAAAATGAGGCCTGCGATAAAAAAGCAAAAAAACGTTAAAAACAAGAGCCTGATTGGAAAACTGACTCGATAAACAAAGTTGGAAAAGGTGGCGAAAAGCGAAGTCTTAATAACTATTCAACGTGCAGTAGTGCAACTGAGGTGATCGCAAATTACTGTGTCCTTTTTTTTTATTGGGAATTACTAAGCAGAAACAAAATTTGGCAACATAATACAGCTACGAAAACTTCAGAAGTCAATAAAGGTAGATTAAGAATATCATATTCCTAACAGCTAAGTTAGGGACTGGGGAAGTTTCCTTGCCATCATTTTTCACTGATCACATCAAAGTTGCATTAAAAAAAATTTGAAAGCGAATTCATAGGTTTACCGTTCGCTCTGGGACTGCGACAGAAGTTGAGGAGTGGCTGTCAGTAACCCTCTCATCAGCTGCTGCATAAAAATCAGGAGCTGGCTGCCTTGGGTTTTTGACAGTATCAGGTGCATAATATACTTCTGAATAGGATGGTGCCGAATCCAAGTATCGATAAACCTTAAACATAAACTTTTACAAAGCATTCATGTGGCTTCACAAAAGAGCCCATCAAAAAAGAGTGGAATTCGCAATACTCCCGCTTCACCTGCAACCACATGAATTTTTCATTTTTTTTTTTTTTTTATACATCATAACATTGATGGACGGAATAGTGAGTTCCAGGAATAATAAGCGGGTTTCAAAGTGAAAATAAAACCATCATACCTTCATCGGCTAAGTTATAGATATTACCTACTATTACTAAAAGATTACAAGTGGTACAGTCCCTCAAATCTCTTTAAAATATTAAGATAAAAAAACAAAAAAAAAAAAGAATCACTTGTTGTGGCTGCTGCGCCTGCGTTTTTACGTCTTCGTTACCACCAGTTTGAAGTGCGTATATCGGTTGGCCTTCCTGTGTATGTCCAACAACCGTATACTAAAAATTTATAAATTACCCAAGGCAGAACTTCGAAGCAAAAATCAAGCAGTAAAAAAGAAATGCTGTGCCTGTAACTACTCATGTCGGCAAATCCACGACAAATTACAACAACAAATACCTATGAAGACAGTACCTACAGCGGTCAACAACTGAATAACACCTGTACATAGTACACCGGCACAAAGCAATATACCAGGTCGGGAATGCAGATCTTTCAAAAGATTATAAATCTGCGCCACAGCGAATCAAGTAAACTTAAGAGTATTAAAGCGCAAAAACTTCGTTCACTCAAGATTATTTAAAAGACGACAGTCACACTTCAACATCTTAGTGTAGGGTCCAAATAAGTTTGTCATTTTTAGTACGGTCGATCTCCTTGTGTTGCGCGAATACAGTAAATGTATCCCGAAGAAAAAATTAATAAATAAATAAAAATGAAACGGCAATCGCTAAAGTGAACTGCGCAAAAATTTCCATCCAAAAATTCCACCAAAAAGAGTGCTTCAAATGGAAGAACCTTTCCAGTCGACCCACAGTCTAGTAAATTATAAAATGCTTTGATGCTGCTTAACAAGTAGCAAGGTAGCAGTTCCCAACAAAAACAAGGAGCAAAGAAAACTTAACAACTAAACCCTAACATGAATGCATCACCATAAATGACAACAAGAAAATTACAGCACGAATGTAGCCGACGAAGCAACAAATAAATCCAAAGGTAACACAAAAAAAGAAAAAAAAAAAAAAAAAAAAAAAAAAAAAA